GAATAGATAGGAAATATTTAAAAGATGTAGCAGCAAACTAGGAAAAAAGAATGAGATGGGTTAGGGAAAAAGTAATGGATTTGTTAGATAAACATATAATTTAAGGCTGGGTGTGGTGGCTAATGCCTGTAATCTCAACAGTTTGGGAGGCTGAGGCTGGAGTATTGCTTGAGACCGGGAGTTTGAGACCAGCCTGAGCAACACAGTGAGACTCTGACCCTGTGAAAAATAAAGATTAGCTCGGTGTGGTGGCATGTGCCTATTAGTCCCAGTAACTTGGGAGGCTGAGGTAGGAGGATCACTTGAGCCTGGGAGATCAAGGTTGCAGTAAGCCATGATCTCACCACTGGACTCCAGTGCCTATTGGCAACAAAGCGAGAAGCTGTCTCTGAAAAAAATAAAAAATAAAAATAAAATTAAAATTAAAAAGTATATATATAGTTATCTGTAAAGTTTCTTTCCCCATGAGGATTTTTTTTTTTTTTAACAATACTGTCTGACTTTCGCCCCAAGGAAAAGAAAAAGAGAGAGAGAAGAAGAACAAAAAAAACAAAAACAAAAACAAAAAACAGTGTAGATGACAATGATGGCCAACAAGCGGGGTCCATATCTGTCTGCCTGGCAGTCCTGAGCTAGTGTTCTTTCCTGGACAAAATGATGCTGGATCATAACAAGAGCAAGGCAAATTAAAAACATAGTAAAACATCATTTTTCATCTATCAGATTGGCAAAAGATCTGATAAAACGGTTGGGCAAGGGTGTTAGAAAACTGCACTTTTATACACTAATAAAATGCAAACTGGTAATTCTTTGTAGGGCCACTGAACGGTAACAAATAAAATTAAAAACGCACATACCTTTCTGACCCCATAATTCCAATTCTAGAAATTTGTCCTATAGAAGTGCACTCATGCACAAAGACAGACATAAAGGAATGTTCTTAGTGTTGCTGTTTATAGTAGAAAGATTGCAAACCTATTCATCAGTAAGAAACTGATTAAATGATTAAACATTCACATAATGTCATAGTATGAGCCAAAAGAATAGTGCAGATATACTGATACCAAAAAACTCTCCTTAGATATGTTAAATAAAATGAAAACAAAACAGGTATTGAAAAGCATATACAATATGTTGCCATATGTGCAGAAAAAGGAGGCTTTGCGTGTGTGCGCATGTGCATCACACACGCATGTGTATATTCAGAGACTATCCTTGGAGGGATCCACAAGAAACTTGTAACAGTGGTTATTTCTGGTAAGAGGGACTACAGATAGAGGTGGGAAAAGATATAATTTTCCTGTATGTCTTTGTAGAATTTGGGGGGTTTTCTGTTTTGTTTTTTATAGTATGCATTCATTATTTTTTAAAATAAATTTAAAGTGTGAATAATTCCTGGAGAGCCTCCATGCTGAATCAACAGCAAAATCTTTAAACAATAGTTCCTGTGTGTAGGCAGAAGTATTTTTGAGCGCAGGTGCAGCGGAGATAAACTTTGGAAGGCAGATGGCTCCAGTTTTAAAATATATTCTGTGATAACATCAGATAAACATTTTTAGAATTGGGTTTGGTTCTCAGAGTCATGGCTTTGACAGACTGCTCAAGCTACATATTCATCAAGTGTTTTAATTTTACATTTTAAAAATACAAACTAATGCTTTCAGTTTTTTAACCACCAACATTATCTGAAAAGACTGAGACAAATAAAACATAGTCCTTGAAGAGATTAAAATGCAGAAAATAAATATTAATAGAATTTTCTTACTACAAATGTTTTAACCTTATTAAAAAGAAGCATCTAGTGGGTGAATCTGGTGGCACTGATGGTATTCAACAGTTCCTTTGTTAGTCTTATCTGTGTTCTCAAGTCTCCAAGAAATACCATTTTTTCCCCATATGCCTGGATCTCCAACTCTAGTGAGGACTGGGGATTTCAAATGTAAATACATTCAAGTAATAGGAAAACAATGTCTGAGGCAAACTGGAGAGTGAGTGCCCTGATTGAGAGGAAAAAAATATTAACATATGTAACAGAGATTAAAGTCTGATGCTGTGGTTTGAATGTCCCCTCCAAAACTCATGTTGAAATTTAACAGCCATTGAAACGACCTGAATAGACACTTCTCAAAAGAAGACATACAGATGGCCAACAGGTATATGAAAGAATTCTCAACATCACTAATCAGGGAAATGCAAATCAAAACCACAGTGAGATACTGGCTCACCCCACTGAGAGAGGTTATTACCAAAAAGACAAACAATAACAAGTGTTGGTGAGGATGTGAAGAAAGCAGAACCCTTATACACTATTGGTGGGAATGTAAATTAGTACAGGTATTATGGAAAACAAAATGGAGAGTCCTCAAAAAACTGAAAATATGAGCTGGAGAATTCACAACCTAAGTGTCCACTGATCAATGAGTGAATAAAGAAAATGTGGTATCTATACACCAAGCAATACAACTCAGCCATAAAAAGGAATGAAATAGCATCTTTTGCAGCAACCTGGATGGAGCTGGAGGCCATTATTCTAAGCGAAGTAACATAGGAATGGATAATCAAATACTGTATGTTCTCATTTATAAGTGGGAGCTAAGCTATGAGGACACAAAGACATACAGAGTGACATAATGGACTCTGGAGATTCACAGGGTGAAGGTTGGGAGAGGGGTGAGGGGAAAAAAAAACTACATTGGGTACATTGAGTATAAGCACACTACTTGTGTAGTATACTACACAGGTAAGAGGTGCACTAAAATATCAGAATTCACCACTGATCTGGCTCTGTCACCCAGGCTGGAATGTAGTGGCATGATCTCAGCTCACTGCAACCTCCACCTACTGGGTTCAAGCCATCCTCCCACCTGAGCCTCCCAAGCAGCTGTGACTACAGGTGCAGGCCATCATGCCCAGCTAATTTTTGTATTTTTTGTAGAGACAGAGTTTCACCATGCTACCGAGGCTGGTCTCAAACTCCTGAACTCAAGTGATACACATGCCTCGGCTTCCCAACTGCTGGAATTACAGGCATGAGCCTCTGTGCCTGCCCCAACCCACCCAAAAAATGTATGTATATATGTTTGTTTGTTTGGAGATGGAGTCTCACTCCTTCACCAAGGCTAGAGTACAGTGGCGTGATCTCGGCTTACTGCAACCTCTATCTCCTGGGTTCAAGCGATTCTCCTGCCTCAGCCTTCCGAGTAGCTGGGACTACAGGCATGTGCCACCATGCCCAGCTAATTTTGTATTTTCAGTAGAGATGAAGTTTAACCATCTTGGCCAGGCTGGTCTCAAACTCCTGACCTCAAATGATCCGCCTACCTTGGCCTCTCAAAGTGCTGGGATTACAGGCATGAGCCATTGTGCCAGGCCTCAATAATTACTTTAAAATTAAAAATAGAACTACCATATGATCCAGCAATCCCACTACTGTTGATGTGTCCAAAGGAAATGAAATCAGTATGTCAAAGAGGTATCTGCACTCCAACGTTTATAGCAGCCTTATTCACAATAGCCAAGGTATAGAATCATCTTGGATGTTCACCAACAGATGAATGAATAAAAAAAAAAAATGTGGGCTGGGCGTGGTGGCTCACGCCTGTAATCCCAGCACTTTTGGAGGCCAAGGTGGGTGGATCACGAGGTCAGGAGTTCGAGACCATCCTGGCTAACACAGTGAAACTCCCTCACTACTAAAAATACTGGCTGGGCGTGGTGATCGGCGCCTGTAGTCCCAGCTACTCAGGAGGCTGAGGCAGGAGAATGGCGTGAACCTGGGAGGCGGAGCTTGCAGTGAGCCGAGATTGCACCACTGCACTCCAGCCTGGGTGACAGAGTGAAACTCTGTCTCAAAAAAAAAACAAAAAATTATGGATGTGGTGTGTGTGTGTGTGTGTATATATAGTGTGTATGTGTATACACATATACACATACACTTAAACACACATATATATATACATACACACATATAAAATGAAATACTATTCAGCCATAAAAAGGAGGACACCCTGTCATTTCAACAACATGGATGAACTTGGAGAACATTATGCTAGGTGAAATAAGGCAGGCACAGAGATATAAATAATGCATGATCACACTTATATATGGAAGCTTAAAAAGTTGGTCTCATAGAAGTAGAGAGTATAACGGTGGTTACCAAAGGCTGGGGTGGCTAGGGAGAAGGAGGTTGGGGAAATGTTGGTCAAAAGATACATACTTACAGTTAGGCAGAAGGAATAAATTTCAAGAGATCTAATTGTACAGCAAGGTGACTACAGTTAATGATGATATAGTGTATTCTTGAAAAATATAAAAAGAGTGAATGTTATATGCTCTCATCACAAAAATGAGAACTCTGTGAGGTAATGCATTTGTTAATTAGCTAGTTAACTATTCCACAATGTATATATACTTCAACAAATCATGCTGTACACAACAAAAACACACAATGTTATCTGTCAGTTTAAAATAAACACATAAAAAAGAAGGAAGTTTAATTGCCACCATGCCGGTTTTAAGAGGGGGAACCCTGAAGAGGTGACTGAAGAGGTGATTAGGTCATTAGGGCTCTGCCCTGATGAACAGGCTTATGCAGCTATTGTAGAAATAGGTTAGTAATCTTGGAGTGAGCTCCTGATAAAAAGGTGAGTTCAGCTCCATTTCTTTTCTCCATCTCACGCTCTCCTTTGCCATGTGATACTTTTTGCCATGTTATGACACAGCAAGAAAACTCTCACCAGATTTGGCCCTTTGATCTTGAATTTCCCACCCTCTAGAACCATGAGTCAAATAAATTTCTATTGTTTATAAATTACCCATTCCCTGGTATTCTGTCACATCCTCGGAAAACAGAATAAGACGGAAAATCGTACTGGCAGTGTGGCTGTTGCTATAACAAATATCTGAAAATGTGGAAGTGACAAGTGTTGCCTAAGTCTAGAATCATAAATAAAGACTTAAAATAAAGTCTTTAAATTTGTTGTAATTTTGTCTTTTGACAGAAGACCACAAAAGGACCTGGAGACAGCTGATGACCTGAGACTCCTTGAGGAACATAGGAAAAGGTGATGCTAACCTTCTTTTTTGGGGGTGGGGTGTACTATCTCCTTCACATAGCCCTGAGGGTTAAGTCCCTCTCAGATCTGAGCTCTGCTCTCTTAAGCATTTAAGCTCACTGATATCTTTGGCTTTGGGGGTATCAAGGTTAGTTTGTGCTGTGAGAGAACATTTGACTTTGGAGTACCTAGGGTTAGTTTGTACTGTGGCAGGGCACATGACTTCTGGGTTCATAGTGGCTGACAAGTCACTGGCAAGGGCTACATTGTTTTGGCTCCCACTCTGGTGATATGCATGATGCCATAAAAGGCTTGGGTCAAGCCCTGAAGAATGTGGCTGGACAGAAATATGAGTTGCATCCCATTGGTGACCAGCATATGGCCGGAGGGAAAGGTGGGTTACACTCTTTGTGGCTAACACAGAGGGCTGCAGTAGTAAAGGTAACCAACAGCAGTCACAGCAAGTGGTTATTACCATGGGGTGAAGGAGGGCATGAACTCTGGCTTTTGGAATTCATGGGTATGTGTGTTTTTTCTTACATGTTTAGATGAGGGAGGCCTCAGGCATCTGACTGGGTCAGACAAAAAAGAAACTGAAACGTCATTGGCTCAGTGGGTCAAGGCAATCTCAAAGCCAAAGCCATTTTGGCTTTGGAAGACCCAATATCCAACATCAAATGGTTTCTTTAATTTCTAAAGATCTGAGTACCCTGCCTTCTGGCCAATATGCCTTTTTTGTGTATGAGGTTTCTGGTTCTGGAAGCTACAAATATTTACAAATGGCAAAATCTTACAAAAGATAATTCAGAATTATGATGCCATTACATGGAATGTTCCAGATGAAAAAGACTATTCATCTAAGAAGTGCACTCAAACCCCAAGCCTCCCAAATTACTCAGAAAGAACAGAATTCTTATTGGTATTCAGAAGCCTCAAAGAGACAACAGTGCTCTAAAATCACCTTTTAAAAAGATTCACTGTAAAGAGCTAATAAAAGCTGGAAATGGAAGATATTCCCTTACCAAGGATGGTAAAACTGATGTAACTCCTACTGCCTCCCTCTCTCTTGCATTGCCTGAATATTTACAATCTCCTCCTAAGTATTCAGTCTGCTTTGTCTGAATTGCCATTCTTCCCTGAAAAAAGCAGTTAAACAGTTTCCTTATAAGAGAATCATTTGAAAAATCAGGAGATAATCCCCAAGTGACTTGTACTCCCTGGACAAAAATGGACTTCAGGGCCACAGTTCAAGATTTTCCTAAATCTACAGAAGAATTTAACAAGTTTTCTGAAGAATTCAGGGTCTTACTAGTAACTCATTATTTTTAAATTTTTATTTTTTTAGACGGAGTTTCGCTCTTGTTGCCCAGGCTGGAGTGCAATGGCGCGATCTCTGCTCACTGCAACCTCCACCTCCTGGGTTCAAGCTATTTTCCTGCCTCACTCTCCCTAGTAGCTGGGATTACAGGCACCCGCCACCACGCCCGGCTAATTTTTTTGTAGTTTTAGTAGAGACGCGGTTTCACCATGTTGGCCAGGCTGGTCTCAAACTCCTGACCTCAGGTGATCCACCCACCTTGGCCTCCCAAAGTGCTGGGCTTATAGGCACGAGCCACCATGCCTGGCCTTACTGGTAATTTATAACCCCAGTATACTTGATTTGTACCAACTAGTACATGTATTGGTGTAATCTAGGGAGCCCCACATGGATGAAAGAGGCAGAATGGCAGTCTCCTGAGAATTCTATCAAGTACCCAGCAAGCTCTGTCCAATCTACTTATGGGTCAGGCAAAACCCAAAAGACTGCAGATTACCTTTTGAAAAGTCATTCCCCAAGTATTTCAGCTCCATGGCAACCGACAACCTAGAATGACATTTGGGCCTGTCCTAGGGTGCTTCCCCAAATAAGCAATCCCTAAAACAGCAGTTTCCAAAAATTCACTGCCATTTGTGCAAACAACCAGGACATTGGAAAAAGGACTGCTGAAAAAATTTTCCAGGAAAGCCCCTAAAATCAGGCTTCCCACCCACCCTGTGACAAAAAAAGTTCCTATAAATCTGGTATGTATTGGTATAAATGCTATCAGTCATAATTTTGGTTGAAAAATAACCAAATTTCCTTGTCAATTTCATCATTATTATAATGAACTCTCATCAGGTTTTAACCATGGCCATTTTAAGTCATGTTGTCAACAGTGAATTGTTTTGGTTCTAATGCCTTTTATGAAAGCTTTTGCAAGCAATTATAATCCTAAAGTGCTGTGTCTCCAAAAAACTATATCAGAAGAATGAAAAGAAGGCCGGGTGCAGTGGCTCACGCCTGTAATCCCAGCACTTTGGGAGGCAGAGGCGAGCAGATCACTTGAGGTCAGGAGTTGAGACCAGCCTGGCCAACAAGGCGAAACCCTGCTTCTACAAAAATATAAAAATTAGCTGGGTGTAGGGTTGCGTGCCTGTAATCCCAGCTACTCAGGAGGCTGAGGCAGGAGAACTGCTTGAACCCAGGACGCAGAGGTTGCAGTGAGCCAAGATCGTGCAATTGCACTCTAGCCTGGGCAACAGAGTGAGACTCTGTCTCAAAAAAAAAAAAAAAGAAACTCTGACATGACTTTTAGTTTGTACCATTGGACAAAATTTCCAAAATTATAATGAAGAAACTGTAAACTAAAAATAAAATTCTAAGCCCTTCACTCAATTGAATGGACCCCCATTCAATAGGCCAAAGGCTTTCCAAAGTAAACCTGAAAAACTAGTTTAGGCCATGATGGGAATGGGGGTAGGGTCAGAATGCCTCATTATACCCTCCTTCTAGAATTCAGGCACAACTGACCAGCATGAGCATTAAAATAGAGATCTTAAGACTGACCAAACAGACTCTTTGTACCAATAAGATACATCACATGACAGCAGACATTGAAAAAAATTGAAGTATTTTACTCCGAAATATATTTCTTTGATGTATTTAAAAATGGCCCTGCAAAGTTGTCTCTTGTCAGGGAAATCTACATTCTGTGGAGAATCTCCTTCCCCTTCCAGGTCTTTTCCTGATCCAGAGATTGACTAAGAGTCTGGCACCTTTTTAAGTCTGATAAGAAATATTTACCATCTATTCTCTGTGAAGCCTGCTAGCTGAAGGTTTCACGTCTATAAGAACCTTGGCCTCCACAACCCCTTATGTTAACACAGAAATTCCTTTCTATTGATTCCAGGTCTTTAGATCATAACTTAACCAATCAGAAAATCAACTCCACCTAGGAGCTGGAAGTCCTCCCCACCCCCCACCTTCCAGTTGTCCTGTCTTTCTGTACTGAACCAATATACATCTTACGTGTATTCATGGATGTCTGCCTGTAACTTCTGTCCCCCTAAAATATATAAAATCAGCTGTAACTCAACCACCTTCGGCACATCTCAGGACCTCCTGATGCTGTGTCCTGGGCATGTCTTTAACCTTGGCAAAATAAACTCCTAAATCTATTAAGACTTGTCTCACACACTTTTTGGTCTACGAATCTGATGGGTTTGTAAAACTGCTAACCAAGATCAAACAGAGAATGAATTAATTACATGAGACTGATTGAACTGATAAATAAAAACTATGGGTTTTCATGGTTTCTTTATTTGAAACATTGCTGGTTCTTTTAATATTTTGTTTTACAGATTTAAGGAAACTTCTTTTTTTTGAAAGCTATGTATAGTTTACAGCAATTTGGTAAAGCATACTTTTATGAATAAAAATAGAAACATTTGCTTTTCCTTTCTACCTGATGATACCTCCAGAATTTGGAAACTATTAGTTAGTACTGTTATTTTTATGGCAAGCTGGTTGTCTGCGTAAGTTCAATAAAGAATCTGTTCTCTTTAACAGGATAAAATTGGAAACACTGGTTATATTATCAAGGCTCTGACAGGAATACCGTATTTGAAAATGTGCTTAGAATGCCTAGCTTCAGCTGGGCATGGTGGCTCACGCCTGTAATCCCAGCACTTTGGGAGGCCGAGGTGGGTGAATCATCTGAGGTCAGGAGTTCGAGACCATTCTGGCCAACATGGTGAAACCCTGTCTCTATTAAAAATACAAAAATTGGCCGGGTGTGGTGGCATGAGCCTGTAATCCCAACTACTCGGGAGGCTGAGGCAGCACAATTGCTTGAACTCGGGAGGCAGAGGTTGCAGTGGGCCAAGACTGCGTCACTGCCCTCTAGCCTGGGTGACAGAGTGAGACTTCATCTCAAAAAAAAAAAAAAAAGAATGCCTAGCTTCAAAGGTTCTCAGCATTATAGTGAATGAGTAAAGGCTGTCACTTCCTGGCAGGCCCATGAACCTCAAGGTACTAGATACAGCAGGCAAAGTCTGATATGTGCCTTCATTTGGCTTCCTAACATTGAGAGGTTTCTAAAAGTCTAATCTGAGATTCCTTGTCAAAGTTCGCAGCAAAGCAAATCTAAAAGATGGTTATGTAGTTATTCTTGCTGCACTTTTATAAATAATCAGACAAATTGGTCTGCAATTATCTTTTGTAGAAATGAGGGTGAATGTAGAGAAAAAAATTATGTTAAAAAAAGTTATAGTGGCCTTGTTATTAGATTGTAGCCTGGCTCATTGTTTTTGCTTTCTTTTTTCTTTTTCTCCTTTTTTCTTTTACTAGTAGACTAGACTGGATTCTGAATTCTTATATCTGGCTAAGACTCTCAAATAACAAAAACGGCTGTTTCTCAAGCCCTATAAGCTAAAGCTGGACAACTTGATGTAAATTTCAGGGGAGATGTCTCATACCTGATACATACGCCACATAAAGAATTCACCAGAATGCCTGATGTCACATCAGAGACAATCAAACTCCAAATCAGGATGAGAAGTTGTCGACTTCATGTTGTGGACAACTTTTCCCAAGACCATTGGAATAAGACTCCCCATCATAAGACTCTTACTCCTCTTAATTATTCCTTATTTATGCCTACTTCTTTACCTTGACAGGATAATGCTATACATTTTCACAATCAGTACTTCCTAGAGGTAACTTGGGACTGCCGGCTTTTATTTATTTATTTATTTATTTATTTAGAGATGGAGTCTCACTGCCATTGCCCAAGCTAGAGTACAGTGGTGTGATCTTGACTCACTGCAACCTCTGCCTCCCAGGGACTGCCGGCTTTTATTTATTTATTTATTTATTTATTTATTTAGAGATGGAGTCTCACTCCCATTGCCCAAGCTAGAGTGCAGTGGTGTGATCTTGGCTCACTGCAACCTCTGCCTCCCAGGTTCAAGCAATTCCCCTACCTCAGCCTCCCAAGTAGCTGGGATTATAGGCACGTATCACCACATCCAGCTAACTTTGTTTTTATTTTTAAGAGAGACAGGGTTTCACCATGTTGGCCAAGCTGGTCTCAAACTCCTGACCTCAAATGATCCACCCACCTTGGCCTCCCAAAATGCTGGGATTATAGGCATGAGCCACAACACCTGGCCTCTGCTTTAATTTAAGATAGTCATGGGATACTAGATTACCAACTAAACAAGGAGCAATCTGTGCAATTCATTTTTATTTTATTTTATTTTATTTTTGAGGTGAGTCTCGCTCTGTCGCCTAGCCTGGAGTAGAGTGGCACAATCTTGGCTCACGGCAACCTCCGTCTCCTGGGTTCAAGCAATTCCCCTGCCTCAGCCTCCCTAGTAGCTGCGATTACAGGCGCCTACCTCCACGCTCAGCTAAATTTTGTATTTTAGTAGAAATGGGGATTCGCCATGTTAGTTAGGGTGGTCTCAAACTCCTGACCTCAGCAATTCACCTCCCTTAGACTCCCAAAGTGTTGGGATTACAGGCATGAGCCCACTGCACCTGACCTCTGCTTTAATTTAAGATAGTCATGGGAGGCTATCTTACCAACTAATTAAACAGGGATCAATCTGTGCAACTGATATTTCTTTTTTTTTTTTTTTTTTTTTTTAAGACGGAGTCTCCCTCTGTGTCCCAGGCTGGAGTGCAGTGGCGCGATCTTGGCTCACTGCAAGCTCCGCCTCCCGGGTTCACGCCATTCTCCTGCCTCAGCCTCCCGAGTAGCTGGGACTACAGGCGCCCACCACCGCGCCCGGCTAATTTTTTGTATTTTTAGTAGAGACGGGGTTTCACCGTGATCTCGATCTCCTGACCTTGTGATCCGCCCACCTCGGCCTCCCAAAGTGCTGGGATTACAGGCGTGAGCCACCGCGCCTGGCAGCAACTGATATTTCTTGTTGCACATAAATACATTGGGTATTGTAGAGCAGATTGCTTTGTTAAAATATGTAGACTCCTCATCTAGCTATTTGATTTTAGTTGGTTTGGCTCATGGGGATCCTGGCTAAGGAGAAAGCTCCAAACTCTTCATATTTTCCACCTGCTAATCACAACAGTAGTCTCCCTGGTGTACTGTATCTTCTCAAAAAGTTTTAAATGTTTCCAGAGAGCCATCTGTCAAACATCAGATGGTATGTCTCTAGCTGGAACAACAAAAACTCAAACAAACTTATAATAATGGGGAGGACACAATAAGCTATAAACACATGCTGAGACTAGAAACTCAAAATGATGGCAACTGAGTAGTACTGATGACCTAAGTTTTGATTACACTCTCACCTACATAACAACCTAACCAAAAGGCAAACTGTCAAATAAAAATCACAGGAGGCCACTGTTTTGGACTAAATTCTTGTACTATGTCCCAATGGACCAGACTAAAACTCAAAATGGAGTTACCCATGCTAAAGTTTCATGCCTCCAAACCTAGACTAAGTTGTTACCCAACCTTCTAAGAGATCAGAAGAGAAGGATAACAGCTAATTTCCCAAAGAGGCCAGTTTAAATCTTCAGTGGGCATAATAATGAAGTTCCTTCTACTTCAGTCCTTGCTTCTCTACAAAAAAGGTAGGCTGAAATAACCTCATGTTAACTAATCAGTTTTTTCTATTGTTGGCCTCTCTGTCCCCACCTTACAAGAAGAGTAGCTTTGAAATGACTAATATGCTATCTGTTCTGTGCTTCTACTTTCTTTAGCCCTTCTTTGTATATAAAGCCAGCCTCTGCTGCTCAGCTCATTGGAACACTTATTCCATTTTATGGAATGATATGTGGACCAAGTCTAGACTCGAGAATAAAGCCAATTGAGATCTTTAAACTGAAAAATAAACTTCAAGGCTGTCCCTCCCACCACACACCCAGGCCCAGAACTCTAGGAGGGCAGAATGGTTTTGGAGGACTGACCTAGGGTGCCCTCCATAGGTTTGCTGCCCACAGCTACCTTGGGTCTCTGTTCTCTGCATTCCAGTACAGTGCTCCTCAGCCACCCCAGCCGTGGTTCAAGAAGGCCCAAGTGCAACTTGACCCACTACTTGGGAAGATACAGCCATAAAACTTGGCAGCATCTACATGATGCTAACTCTGCAGGCATGCAGAGTGCAAGTTGTTCCCTGACCTTCCAAGAGATCCACCTAGATTTCAAAGGATGTTGTGGACAGCCTAGAAGCCCAGACAGAGACCCGTCAAACGGGCACAAAGAGTCCCTACTAGTGCAGTGCTGAGCAGTATAGATACCCTGGAAGGATATACAAAAAACTAATATAAGGGGCTACACCAAGAGAGAAGGCAGTATAAGTGGGGTGGATGGGGAACAGACTGGAAGATTGGAGATTATCTTTTTATATTATTTGAATTTTGAGCCATAGGAGTACTCAAGACCTGTTAGCTGTTGTTAAAAAAGAAAGCTGAAATCCTTTCCTTCTTCTCACCCCACGCAGGGAGAAAGCTGTGCTCTAGCAGAGGCTTGGTGGGGAATGAAAGGCTGAATCTGGGGCATGAGTGTGTTAGAACACTAGGGAGCCTGGATGAGTGAAGACAAATAGCAGGACCCAAAGATATATAGGCAGTTGGGGGTCAGATTTTGGGAGTCCGCACCAGTAAATACTATACTTGTACACCTTGCTGGTAGGAAAATGGGAGTTGCTAAAGATTCATGGGCCAGAATTTTTAGGAGGATGTACAAAATGGATTGTAACTGGGAACAGCCCAGAGGCAGGGAGGCTAGTTAGGAGGCTACCAAAGCATATACAGTTAGGAGCTAACATGGCCTGAACTAAAAAGGAGAGATTAGAATCACAGGTCCTGGCTGGGCACAGTAGCTCATGTCTGTAATCCCAGCACTTTGAGAGGCCAAGGTGGGCAGATCACTTGAGGTCAGGAGTTCGATACCAGCATGGACAACATGTTGAAGCCCTGTCTCTCCTAAAAATACAAACATTAGCTGGGCGTGGTGGCGTGCGCCTGTAATCCCAGCTACTTAGGAGGCTGAGACAGGAGAATTGCTTGAACTCTGGAGGCAGAGTTTGCAGTGAGCCTACATCTCACCACTGCACTGTAGACCGGGTGGCAGAATGAGACTCCATCTCAAAACAGAAAAAAAAAAAAGAATCACAAGTCCTAGAAGGCAGGTTAGGACTGAGCA